AAAGACTCCATGGCCAGGCATGGTGGCACAGGCCTGTAATCCCAGGATCTAGGAGGCTGAGGCAGGAGGATCATCCTGAGTTCAAGGCAAGCATAGGCTACATAATTAGTTCAAGGCCATCCTGAAATGCATAGTAAGACCCTGTATCAAACAACAACAACAACAACAACAAAACAAAAACAAAAAACTCCATATGCACAACCCAGGAGATTAGTTCAATAATGTAGCAGCTGTGTAGTGGAATATTATGCAGCAAGAAAGAGGAAAGAAGCAGCCCTCTGCCACTGTGTGGAAAATCCCCAAGTGGAAGATCAAGGGATGCAGAGTGTGTATAGTTCAATGGGAGACAATCTCAACTTGCATGCAACCCGCTTGGTGTGGGGCAAACAAGCAGGATTAAACACACAAAGACCTCTCTGACCCACGGGCCTGTCTGGCTCAATGCATCCTCCTGCCTCAGCTGACAACCAGATGGGAAGATGGTCCGCCGCTGTCTCTCCTCCCAGCTGCTGCCTGGCCCCTCCACCCACCAGGTGGCGGCCACATCCAGTCCCCATCTGACCTGCAGCAACTCCTCTTGGCCAGTCTACCCTGCTGCCCCCAGCCCTCTGCCTGCTTAATGGGAGGCTACCCTGCCTCAACCTCTAAATCCAAGCAGACCTGCTGCATTCAGGTGACTCCCAATGTCCACTGCTAACTTTTAAGCCATGTGATGTCCCCCAGGGGTCTCCAACCAACAAACCCCAAATGGAGCTCAGCTCCATTGTCTACACCCAGGGCTTCCTCACCGTTGCCTTGGCCAAACCCTGCCCATCACCCAAAACCATTGTGTTCCCTCTGCGATATCCCCAGAGTTCACACACCTAGTGTCTGTCTCCCCACTTCCACCACTGCTCGCCTAATGGAAGCCTCTCACATGAGTGGCCCCAGTGTTCTCCCAGTCTCCTCTATGCTCTTCCTACCCCAGGGCCTTTGCACACTCATAACACATGCCAAGAGTTCTCTCCTCCTCTTACATAGTTTGGATAAGTGTCCCCAAGGGCTCGTTTACTAAATGTTTGGTGCCCAACCCATAGCCTCTTGAGAAGTGGTGGAGCCTAAAAGGAGTGGAACTGGAGCAGGGTGTGGTGGTACAGTAATCCCAGAACTCTGGGAGGCTGAGGCAGGAGGACTGCAAGTTTGAACCCAGCCAGGGCAACTTAACAAGGCCCTATCCCAAAATAAAAAATAGGGCTGGGGTTGAGGCTCATCCGTAAAGCACAGAGTACCCCTGGGTTCCATTCGCAGTTAAAAAAAAAGCCACATGGCAGGGTCCGGCTGGAAGTCACAGAGATGTGGTGTGAGGGCGACACTGGGGGCTTGGCCCCTCCGTTCTCACTCTTTGCCTCCCAAGTGCTCTTGTCCAGAGACAGGAGGCTGAGGAGCACACACCTCCCCTCCACCCTTTCCTAAGAATCAGCTCGGTGGCTTCTCATCCACATGCCAGGATCAGAGTAACATCATTCCCCCGGGGGACTCCTCCGGCCTCCTCGACCAACGGGTCTCGACAGGGGTGACTTTGCTCCCCAGGGACGATGTCTGGAGTTTTTCTTTTTTTTAGACAAGATCTCACTCTGTAGCCCAGGCTGGCCTCGAACTTACAGTGACCCTCCTGCCTCAGCCTCCTGAGTGCTGGGATTACAGGCGTGCGACACCATGACCAACTCGAAGGCCCCAGTCTGCAGTCCTGTGTTATTAGCAACAGAAAACAGCCCAGCACAGGGCACCACAGGAGGTCAGTTCGGGGGAGGGAGAGCAGAACTCTGGCTCCTGGGGCTGAGGCCAGGGCCAGTTTCAGCTGAGAAGGCTGGAAAAACCGCGGTGATGGAGGGGGAAACAATCGCAGAGCGAAGAGAATATGCTGCTGACAATGAACTGTTCATTCAAAATGAGCAAAGTGACTCTCAGGACTATGTTGGGTAACAAACAGAAGAGGACAGAGCAGAACAAGAACCCCCTCCTCCCCGCTCCTCCGCAGCAAGTTCGAGGCCGGCCTGGACTGCACAGCGGACCCAGACTCAAAATCAAACAACAATGGCCAACTTCTAAGATTCAGCAGCAGCCCCACCCCTCACGCCATTCCAGGGCCATTAAACATTGCGGCCAGAGGGGATTCTGGGGACGGAAGTTAATAAACAGCTAACTTGAAGGAGTAAACAAAATAAAACCAGGCGGTTTAGGTCAGCGCAGTCCTGGCCCTGCCTCCAGCATGGGCTCCGCTGGGGGGAGGCACTGATTCACTTCCTGTGTCCTCGTCCAGAGCAAGGACAGAGAGGAGAGTGGCTGAGAAGCCGAGTCCCCCAGCAGGGACACAGAACACAAGCCAGAAGCCAGGCTCAGTGGCACAGACTTATAAACCCAGCCCTCAGGGAGGCTGAAGCAGGAGGATCTCAAATTTCAGCCAGCCTGGTCAACTTAGTGAGATCCCGTTCCAGCTCAGGGGTGCAGTGACCAATGCCAAGGCCAGTGCAGTGGGTTGGGACCCTGGGAACAAGGTCACCTGACCGCCCAATCACAGGGAAGGGCACATTATGACAGAGAGGAGCTGGAGTCCAGCTAGTGCCTTCCTGGGGTCCCCAGAGTCCAGAGCACTGGGAACTCCGGCCTGGTGTCCGGGACAAAAGGGACTGTGATTCTCTGTGATTCTTGAAGGGGAAACTGCAGCTTTGGGGACACTGATTTCCCCCGCCCCACTGCCAAACTCCATAACCTCCCCATTCTGTGCAGGCAGCTGTGTCCATCTCCTGAGGGGCAGACGCCGGGCACCCAGGCGCTCGGGCGGCCCCAAGGTTAGGGACAACTGACTCATGTGGTGTCGCAATGGCGTACTTTTCCAGGCACTGGCTGAAAGCTGCCGGACTAGTAGTGATGGTGGTGATAGGCACAAGGCCAGGGGACAGCCATGTGTGAAGCTGGGTCTCAAGCCAGGGCCTCTCTCTGTCCAGGAGAACGGAACCACAGACGAGTCATTTCTCCAAGGGAAGTCTTAGACTGCTGTCTCATCTGCCTTGACTCCTTCCTCCTCAGTGTTGCCCAAAAGCTAGAAAACTCCTATACATCCATCAAAGCCCACTTTCTGGAACCCCTCCCACAATTCCAGGATTAGCAAGTATATTCCAACTATGATTTGGAAAACCACAAGGACAATGGAAAAAAAGGCTTAGGGTCAATCAATGCTGGGTCGGGGCAAAAAGCCAAAGCTCCCCGCAGATCTAATGCATGGGGTCTGCAAGGAGTTGCTTCCACCAGGGACCTGCAGCAGGGACGGCACCAGCTTTGCACTAACTCAGGGCCCAGGGAGGGCATCCCAGGCAGCACCCACAGGTCTGACCAAGGGCAGGACGGCTGCTGGGACAGGTGCAGCCTTTGGCACTGCCCCTCGGCCTGGCCAACAGGGAAGGGGATGCTGCCTGCTCCACCTGCAGGGCACGCTGGTAGCCTCGGGGCAGGCTGTCCCCTCTGCTCCTGATGAAAGCCAAACCCTCCTTCTCTACGAATTTTAGCAGTTTCTCCTCCTGTAGGGTTTTGGTTTGTTTTGTTCTGGCGATTGAACCCAACCCCTTTCTTATTTTTTACTTTGAGACAGGGTCTCCCAAAGTCACTAAGTTGCCTGGGCTGGGCTTGAACTGGGATCCTCCTGCCTCAGCCTCCCAGGGATCTGGGGTTACAGGCCACTATACCCAGAGGAGAGATCTTTTTTTTTTTTTTTTTTTTTTTTTTTTTA